TAAGCAAACTTAGAACCAAACCCAGAATTAAGCAAACTGAGCTTTGAATCCTTGTTAAAAACAAAATTAAGATTGATTAAGTAACAACCTCTATTTTATTCTTAACCCATTTTATTCTTAACAAAATGAGGATTTATCATAACCCCAAACTTAAACTTTTGTTTGTCCTCAAGCATATCAAAATTCAAGCAAGTTAAACATAAATGGGCTGGATTTATCCAAAAAAAATTTCAAAAATTTCTTTCCAATATCATACTCTAGCTGCCACTTCTATCATTTACAAGGTCATGGACCTATTTAACAGAAAAATCACACTCATATCAACCATTTTCATGCAAAGTCTCACTAAACTAAAATAAAAATTCAGCAAGGCTTCATGTAATCAACATAATGCAAAGAAATTATCCAGCTCACAGAATAGTATTTCACTCTTCATTCAACAGTATTTTGGGTTAAGTGTTTCCCCTCGATTCATAAATTTTTGCCTCACCCTACCATATGCTTGCCTATATTCTCAATCTCCTTTGCCTTGATACAGTGAATCACATATCATGAGGACTTTATTGGTCAAGAATGGAATTAGGCTAAGGTAAATTCTGGTTAAGGAGGGACAATAGCTCATGTGGGTTTCCAAGAGAAAAGAGCTATTTTGAGTGAGTGAGCACAAAAACTAGAATATAATGCACAAAATGATGTAACATAAAAGGCTCAAGCACTTTCTAACACATAGGCCTTGCTCTATTTTTCTTTTCTACAAATGGTTTTGTGGACTTTGCTAATCTTTCCTTTCTTTCTTCTTCCTCTCTTCTCTTTTATATTTTTTCTTATTTATTTATTTCATTTATTTGTGTCCATCACCCTAACCTTAGGCTTTTGCTTGTCCTCAAGCAACTATAGTGAACGTAGTACCCCAAACTTAGTTCTTGCACTCAATCTTAATGCAACTCAAACTAACTCTATTCTCTTGGAATAGGTACAATGGGTATGCAGTGTGATTTGTTTTCAAAAAGACTAACTTTAGAAGAAGGTAATGGGCTCAAAAGGGTGTTCTTGTGTGAAAGTTGTTTAAGCTAATAGGAAGTGTGAAATTAAGGCCTCAATCATTTAAATGAAAACTGTGTAGCACATATTCAATAAGAAACAAGGCAAGTTCTAAAGAATGAATGAAAAAATGTATGTAAATTGTACACAAAAATGAAATGTCTAAGAAAAGGTTCAACTCTTTACATGGTCTTTGTCAAAATATGAGTACCGTCACCTTGAATGAAAAAAATGTTCAGTATGGTAAGAATTTTAATTATTTGCAAAACAGAGTGTGATCATGAGTTAGACATTAGGTGCATTGTAAGCAGTCTTGTGGGCCCACAAAGCATCGTCAACCTATGGCTCCAGTCTTTCTTGTGAGGCTACACAATTCTTTCTAGTATCTTCTTTATCTCTCTGTTGAAAAGTTCAGCCTATCTATTAGTTTGTGAGTGATATGTTGTAAATACCTTGTGCAGTACTCTATATTTCTTCAGTAGAACCTCCATTGTTTTATTACAGAAATGGCCTCCTTAGTTACTAATGATGACACGAGGGATACCAAATCTGTAGAACAAGTTAGTACAAACAAACTCTACAACAATTCTAGCATCATCAATCTTAGTGGCTTTGGCTTCCACCCACTTTGACACATAATCTACAGCAAATAAGATATATAAAAAACCAAAAGAGGATGGAAAAGGGCCCATGAAATCAATACCCCAGACATCAAAGATGTCATAATACAGTATTAGTTGTTGGGGCATCTGCTGTCTCCAAGTAATTATGTTTCCTGCCCTTTGACACATTTCACATGTAGCATATGCTTGCCATTGCTCTTTGAAAATGGAAGGCCATTAGAGACCTGAGTCCAACACCTTCCTTGTTGTTCTTTGAGGTCCAACATGGCCTCCTACAGTTGAGACATGGCAGAACTACAATATTGATGGGATCTCTTGGTCAGGAATGCATCATCTAATCACTTGGTCACTGCAAAACTTCTAGAGGTAAGGGTCATCTGACATATAGTGTTTTGCATAACTGTTGATCTTTTCCCTTTGAGCCTTTGGTGAGTTTGCTGGAAAAACACCTGCGACCAAAAAATTAACTATATCAGCAAACCAAGGTACATGTGAGGTACACAACTCAAGGAGTTGTTCATCAAGGAAATCATCTTTGATACAGTGTGTTCAGGGACTCCCTCTACTCTACTTCAGTGGTCAGCCACTAGGTTTAGTGCTTTACTTCTGTCTTGGATTTCCAAGTCAAATTCTTGTAACATAAGCATCTACCGAATAAGTCTTGGCTTGGAATCTATCTTTTACAACAAAAACTTTAGAGTTGCATGGTCAGTAAATACCACAACCTTTGACCCAACCAAACATGATCTAAATTTATCCAATGCAAAGGCTATGGTTAACAACTCTTTTTCAGTAGTGGTGTAATTAGATTGTGTAGCATCTAAAGTCCTAGAGGCATTGATGAACCCATATTTTACTAGTACTTTACTATAGTTTTAAGCCAGTTGATAAGGAAAATGTGTGAGAAAAAGCAGAAAACTCATAAAAATAGTATGATTGAAGGTTTTCTTCAAATACATAATTATTTTAGCATTTGTGAATTTTTGATGTAGAATTTAAGAAATTTTTCATGTTTTTGTAGGAAAATCTGAGCCAAGTGCATGAAAGATGGAAGATCAATGGAATGATACAGGAAAAGTGGCAATTCTAGACTCAAAGAACAAGATTAATGGAAAGAAAGCTAGGCATGATCACTATTGTTAGTGAAAGTGATCGTTCCAGTGCATAAATAAGGAATATAGTTTGGGCATGGTCACTCTTACAAGCGAAAGTGAGTGTTCCAGAGAGTCTCTCAGAAGAACACACTAGGCGTTATCACTTTGCTGGTGAAAGTGAGCGTTTCAGAGGACTTCAAAATCAGCAAGGTTCTACATGGTTACTTTTGCTGGCGAAAGTAGATGTTGCAGAGAGAAGTGTATCAAGGCAAGTTGCGCGTAGCCACTTTTACTCATGAAAGTGAACACGCGCACTCCTCGACCTCCTGCGTTGCTACTATTATCAGCGAAAGTGAATGTTCCAGTCTTCTAGAAACTATATGAGCCTCTGCGTGGCCACTCTTGTGGAGCAAAGTGACGACGTGCAGAGGCGAGAATTCTTATAAATACCAGAGCAAGCTCAGATCTCAGGGTCTTTTGCTCATTTTCCATTTTTCACTACATTTCTTTGTTGAGAGAGAGGTAGAGAGAGGATTGGGGTTGAACGATGAGCTCCAAGAAGAGGAATTGAATTGGGGATCGTGAAGATGGCTCTTTTGCTTTTCTTTCCTTCTTCTCCTTTTTTCTCTTTCTTTGTTGCAATGTTTGCTTAATTCTTCGTAGTTAGTAGTTTATGGACCTTGAATTAATGTATTGATTCAATTCTTGCTTCTAAACTTTGAGCTCTTGGATTAATTGAGTTCTTAATTCTGCTTTCTACGTGATCTTTGAATGGAAATTCAATTGATTAATAACAGAGGAACTTTTACCAATGGAAATTGAAATTGATTCTCATATCTGAATTAACTACCAGAATTGGAGATTTCTTAGGGATAAGCAAATTTAATTATGCAGTCCTATGATTCTGATTCTTAATGCAACTTGAAATTGAACTTCACCTAAGGGATTAGGGTGGTTTAGTTGATTGTTAGGGTCAATGAGTTAAGGGATTAACCTTTGACTATTAATATGTGAAACTGATTGTCAATTAACCAAGTACTTGAATGTTCAGAGGCATAGTTGAATTGATATTGATATTCTGGTTAAATAAATTCCTAACTATCATTCATTCATTTCTAATCTCAACATCAAATTCGTACTCTATTTTTATTGCAAATTTCATACCTTTTAGTTGTTCTTGTTTCTTACTTTCTGTATGTTACAACTATTCCAAATTCGTATGGCTCAAATAGTTATTGTTCTGTGAAGTGATAATTGAATTTCTAATTTCTTGTGGAGATGATACTTTGATCTTAAAATTACTCATTACTTGCTGCAATTCCTAGTGCATTTGCTAGTGTTTAGAAATTGTACATCAAGTTTTTGGCGCCGTTGTCGGGGAATTTGAGTTTCAATATCATTAGTAATAGAAAAATTGCTAGATTGAGTTCTTGTTTTCTTAATTTTTCTCTGTAGATTAGTGTTACATTCAGGGACTCTATTTTGCCTTTAGTTAGATAAGTATAGAATAATAGTAGAGAATTTCTGCATAATTTTGCAATTGTTTAGACTTGAATTTTATATGTTTTTGCTGATATTTTTCTGCATAATCTTTGTTGTGCATTTCTGAATATTGATTTGTAGTCTAATTTTGTTTCATTTTGATTTGTATTTGCGTGGTAAAAACAAAAATAAATCAACTCTGGTTTTTGATCCTGACATAGACATAACCTTAAGAAGATTAAGAAAAGAGGCTAGAGCAGAAAAATTCATAGGAAGTGATAGTGAATTAGAAGTTGTCTATTCTCCAGAAGTTCAGAACATTCCTATCCAAAAAGGAACACCTACACCTCTAGGACAGTCAATTTCAGAAGTAGAGATGGCAGAACAACCTAGAATGAGAACATTATGAGACTATGCAATTCCAAACATGCATAGATATAACTCTTCCATAGTGAGGCCAACTATTCAAGCTAATCACTTTGAAATAAAGCCAACCTTGCTACATTTAGTGCAACAGGACCAGTTTTCTGGCGAAATTTATGATGATCATAAACTACATATTTCAAATTTTTTGCAGCTATATGATAACATAAGAATGAATGGAGTTAGTGAAGATGCCATATGATTGAGGTTATTTCCATTTTCTTTAAGAGACAAAGCCAAATGTTGGTTACAAGCTCAACCACAAGGAAGCATCACAACTTGGACAGAGCTAGTGAATAAATTCCTAACCAAGTACTTTCCTCCATCCAAAGCTACTAAGCTGAGAGGAGAAATAACATCATTTGTGTAGTAGGAAGGAGAGTCATTGTATGAAGCTTGGGAAAGATACAAGGAATTGCTGAGAAGGTGTTCACATCATTGTATTCCAGATTGGATGCAATTGGAGACTTTCTACAATGGGATGAATGCAGCAACAAGAACTATGGTTGATGCAGCTGTAGGAGGTTCTTTAAACATGAAATTTTTAGAAGAAGCTTAGAGAATCATTGAGATGATGGCATCTTCAATGTATCAAAACTCAGACTCAAGAAATGCAGGGAGAAGTACTGCATATGAAGCCAAGATTTTAGAAACTTTTCTTGCACAAAATCAACAGCAAAACCAGATGTTTTCAGAACAAATAGCTGCCTTCACTTAGCAAATTAGTAATCTTCAAGCAGGAAGCATGCCAACAAGTCAATAAACTGTGATTTTTTGTGGAGGAAATCATGCCAGTGGTGCATGTCATGCATCTACAAGTAAATCATAGGAACAAGTGAACTATATGAGCAATTTTCAAAGACAACAATCCTCCTTCCCACCTGGATTTCAATTTTCAAATAATAGAAAGCAGCAATATTCTAATTGGAATAATCAATATTTTGCTGCCAAGAATTCTAATTCTAGTTCGCCTTTTTCTAATACAGGTTAAACAGCACGACAATCTTATTTCCAGAAAAATCCAACCACTCAACTTCAAGGAAATCAGAAATTTTTCAAGCCTATGAATGAAAGGTTTATTGAGATAAAGGAAACCATGCTGCAATTCATGAAAGTAACTCAAACCAGCTTCAAGAATCAAGAAGCTTCTATGAAGAAGTTGGAAACACAAATTGGACAGCTAGCTGAATAGTTACCCAGCAGAGATGAAGGAAGATTTCCAAGCAACACAGTAATAAATCCTAAGAAGCAATGTCAAGCCATAACTACAAGTAGTGAAGTTGTGGTTGCAAGTTCTAAACCTGTAGAAAAGAAAGCAAGTGATGTAGAAGAAGAAAGGAGAATTAAACAAGATCTGCAACAAGGAAATTTTAAGCTATTGAAGAGAGATCATTCAAAAGAAAAAGTAGAAGTTTCTATAAATTCTGAGAGGAAAACCAAGAACCAACTCTTTGAAGATGCTTACAAACCAATAGATCCAGAAAAATACAAAAGGCTACCTTATACTCAAAGGGTTTAGAATCCTAAACAGGAGGAACAATTTGAAAGATTTCTGAATGTTTTTAAGAAATTACAAATTAACATTCCTTTTGCAGAAGCTTTGGAGCATATGCCTTCATATGCAAAGTTTATGAAAGAACTACTCTCCAAAAAAAGGAAACTAGAGCACGACAAGACAGTACCTTTGACAGAGGAATGCAGTGTCATTCTCAAGAGAAAGCTTCCTCAAAAACTCAAAGATCTAGGATTATTCAGCATTCCATGTGAAATAGGACAGTGCACTGTAGGAAGAGCACTATGTGATTTGGGAGCAAGCATTAACTTGATGGCTTTAGCTATCATGAAGAAACTAGGCATAGAAGAAGTGAAACCTACCAACATCACACTGCAACTAGCTGATAGATTATACACTTATCCATATGGAGTTGTTGAAGATTTATTGGTTAAAGTTGATAAGTTCATTTTTCCTGCAGATTTTGTAATTCTGGACATGGAGGTGAGTGCAAACATACCTTTGATCTTAGGAAGACCATTCCTTGCAACAGGAAGAGCTCTTATTGATGTACAAAAAGGAGAGCTCATGCTTAGAGTTCAAGATGAAAAGGTAGTGTTTAATGTTTTTGAAGCATTGAAATATTCAGCTGAAGATAATTCATGCATGAGAGTAGATATATTGGATTCTCTTGTTACACATTATTCTATTAATGAACTTGATAAAAATTTTGTGTTGAGAGAAACCATAGTAGCAGGAAATACCAAATCAGAGATTTGTAGAGCAGAATAAATGATAGAAATTGAGCAATAATTGGAAGCTCTACCAAATCTAACACCTGCAGAAAATTCAGTCAAAGAAAAGCTATTGTTCATAGCTCTAAACACTAGCAAGTGCACTAGGAATTGCAGCAAGTAATGAGTAATTTTTAAGATCAGAATATCGTTTTCACAGGGAATTAGGCAATCAATTATCACTTCACAGAACAATCACCATTTGAGCCATACGAATTTGGAAGATTTGTAACATTTAGAAGTCAAGAACAAGCACAATTAAAAGGTAAGAAACTTGCAGTAAAAACAGATTATGAAAGTTGTGATGAATTAAGATAGGAATGAAGAATAGTTAGGAATTTACTTCACAAGAATGTCAATATTGTTTCAATTATGCCTCTGAACATTCAAGAACTTGGTTAATTGACAATCAGTTTCACATATTAATAGCCAAAGGTTAATCCCTTAACTCAATGACCTTAACAAGCAACTAAACCACCCTAATCCCTTAAGTGAAGTTCAATTTCAAGTTGCATTAAGACTTAGAACCTTAGGATTGCAGAATTAGGTCTCCTTATCCCTCCCCAATTTTGATTGCTAACTCAGATCAGAGAAGCAAATCCAACTTCTGTTGGTAAATATTCCTCTTTGATTAACCACACAAATTTCCATTCTCAGATTGCACTAACAGCAGAATTAACAATTTAATTAATCCAAGAACTCAAAATTCAGAAATAAAAGTCAAATCAATACATCAATTCGAGTTCAATAAACTTCTATCTATGGAGAATTAAGCAAACATTGTAACAGAAAAAGAGAAAGAAGGAGAAGAAGAGAATAATTGCAGAGAAGCCATCTTCATGAGCTCCAATCCAAGGCCTCTTCTTGGAGCTTCAAAATTTGACTCCAATCCTTTCTCTCACTCTCTATCAACGACAATCTAACAGAAAAAATAGAAAATGAACAAAAGATCCCGAGTTCTGAGCTTTCTTTGGTATTTATAAGAATTCCTGACTCTAGGCGTTGTCACTTTACTTCATAAGAGTGACCATGCAGAAGCTCATGTAGTTTCTGGAAGACTGGAACATTCACTTTCGTTGATAAGAGTAGCAATGCAGGAGGTCAAGGAGTGCGCGTAATCACTTTTGAGAGCAAGAGTGACCACGCACAACTTGCCTTGATACACTCCTTTCTGGAACATCCACTTTCGCTGGTAAAAGTGGTAACACAGAGCTTGTTGAAATTCTGCCTTCTCTAGAACACTCACTTTCGCCAGTAAGAGTGACCTGCAGAGCTCGCTGAAATTCTGCCTTCTCTGAAACATTCACTTTTGTTGGCGAGAGTGGTAACGCACAGCTTTACTGAGATTGAACTTCTCTGGAACGTTCACTTTCAGTGATAATAGTGATCACGCCCACACTCAACTTCTCATTTAAGCTATGAATCACTCACTTTCGCTGGCAAAAGTAACCATGCCCGGCTTAAACTCCATAAGTCATGTTCTTTTGAGTCTAGACTTGCTACTTTTCTGCTATTTCTCCATTGATCTACCAGCTTCATGGACTTTACTCAGAATTTTCTACAAAAACACACTTCAATTATTAATTTCTACACAGAAAATTCATAAATGCTAAACTAATTATGTATTTAAAGAAATTCTTCAATCATTCTATTTTTTATGATTTTTTTCTGCTTTTTCCAACATATTTTCCTTATCAAATGGATTAAAACTATAGTAAAATACTAGTAAAAAAATGGATTCATCAAGAGCTAAAGAAAGAAATGAAAGAATATCAAAATCAGAAGCTAGAGCTCAAGCAACTACCCTCTCACTTGAGATATGCTTTCTTGGATGAGAGTCACAAAAATTCAGTCATCATCAACAATGATCTCAAGGAGGAAGAAGAGGAAAAGTTGCTATGAATTTTGAGAAAGCACAAATCAGCAATAGGATGGAGCATTTCAGACTTGAAAGGTATAAATCCTTCTTTTTGTTAACATAGAATTCTATTTAAAGAGAAATTTAAGCCAGTTGTACAGCCACAAAGAAGTGATGAAGTTGCTAGACGCAGGAATAATTTATCCAATTTCTGACAGCCAATGGGTGAGTCCATTCGAAGTTAAATCCTAAGAAAGGAAGGATGACAGTTGTGCCTAATGAGAAGAATGAGCTTATACCTAGTAGGACTGTCATTGGCTGGTGCATGTGTATTCACTATAGGAAATTAAATGATGCAACTAGAAAAGATCATTTCCCACTACCATTTGCTGACCAAATGCTGGAAAGATTTATGGACATTCCTTCTACTATTTTCTTGATAGGTATTTAGGATACAACCAAATAGCAGTGGACCCTATGGATCAAGAAAAGATTGCATTTACATGTCCATTTGGAGTTTTTGCATATAGAAGAATGCCATTTGGATTGTGCAATGCTCCTGCTACATTCCAAAGGCGCATGCTTTCCATTTTTTATGATTTGGTAGAAAACATCATTGAAGTGTTTATGGATGACTTCTCTGTTTTTGGTAATTCATTTGATGATTGCTTAGCTAATCTATCCACTGTTTTGCAGAGATGTCAAGACACTAACCTTGTGTTGAATTCGGAGAAATGCCATTTCATGGTACAAGAGGGCATTGTTCTTGGCCATAAGATTTCAGAAAAAGGAATGAGGTGGACTAAGCAAAAATAGACGTCATTAATAAACTGTCTCCACCAATTAATGTTAAGGTAGTTAGGAGTTTTCTAGGTCATGTAGGCTTTTATAGGAGGTTTATCAAAGACTTTTCAAAAATTGCAAAACCTCTTAGTGATTTACTTGTGAAAGATGCTGATTTTGTATTTGATGATGCTTGTTTATATGCATTTTCTATTTTGAAAGAGAAACTCATTTTTGCACCTATTCTTGCAAAACCTAATTGGAATTTTCCTTTTGAATTGATGTGTGATGCAAGTGATAGTGTAGTAGGTGTTGTTCTAGGACAGAAAAAGGATAGGAAATTGCATGTCATTTACTATTCTAGCAAGGTTTTAAATCCTGCACAAGTAAATTACACAACTACTAAAAAAGAACTCCTAGCTATTGTGTTTGCTTTTGAAAAATTTAGATCATATTTGATGGAATCAAAAGTAATAGTATATACTGACCATTCTGCACTTAAATACTTGTTGTCCAA